ACTCTTTTATCTTCAGAGTTAAATTTATCAGTAATAGTTTTGTTAGAGCTTTTTATTTCTTCTTTTTTTGAAGTGGTTCTTCTAAATATTCTGTCTTTTTAAAGTAGTTTTGTTCTGTTAACAGATTAAGATTTTCAACAGTTAAAGTTATATTCTCTTGAGTATGAGTTTCTAGATTTTAAACAAAGTTTTTAAGATTAATAGGTTGTTGATAATCAAATAGTACTTCAATAATAGGTTGGATAGTTAAAATTTTAGAATAATTAGTTATTTTTGATAGTTAAAAGTTGAAAAGATGTTTTTCTCTGTTGTAGTAAAATTTTCATTGTTGTAGATGAAGGTCTTCTAGGCTTGATTCAATACCAGAATAAGGTAAAAGAAGATTAATTCTTCTAATTACAAATTTAGCAAATCTATTAACTAGTCTTAGTATAGTTAAGATTAAAAGTTAAGAGAGATAAGAGGGTCAAGTAGAAATATATAAGGTTTCTTGAATAATTTCTCTTTCTTGTAAAACATCTGATTAAATAAAAAAAAAAAGGTAGTGATTCTCTTTTTAATGAGTTATTTTATTAGTAAAAGATATAATGTCTACTGGTTTGGTTTCTACTATATAGATCTAAAGAGCTAGTGTTTGCAGTAGGTATTAAAGTTTGAGTAAAAGTAACAACAGCAGTGACAAAAAAAGTAAAAGTTGTAACAGCCTTTTCTATAGTAATAACAGTTTCTTGTTGTGTTTGTTAAAAAGTAAATGCATTAGTTTCTTTTTCAGAACCTTGTACTAATTCTAATATAGCAACTTGTAAAGCTTTAATATGTTGTTAAGCTTTAAATAAATTATCAATAAAAATATCAAATGAAGTTCTTTGGTTAGAAGTAATTGATAATACTAAATAATAAAAAGTATATAATTAAAAGATATTTTGTGCAATATCTTAAAGATTAGTTATCTGGTTTTAATAATAACAACTAAAAATAATGTTTTTAACAATGATTTGAACAACTACATGTCTAGCAGTAGTTAATCTTAAAAAGTTGGTTTGGGTAATTTTACTAAAAGAGGTTGCTTGGTAGGCTTCTGAATACCAAGTTCAAAATATAGCAAAACCTCCACAAAAGTTTAAAAAAATAGGAGTTGATAGATAATACTATTGGCAAAATAAATTAATTGCAAGAGTTTACAATACAGATGAAATGAGAGAAGGTTTTTCACTATGAATCTGTTGGTGTTTTTGAATATTTTCTAATGAATATAAGTAAGAAAATCTCCTATAAAATAAATTTCTTCAAGAAGAGTTAGTACTAATAAGTAATAAAATAATAAAATAAAATAATAAAAATCAAAATAATAAATTAAAAATAATAGTGCTAGTAAGTAAAGAATTCAATTAATCAAATCAAAAGTTTAAACAATTCAAAATATATTTATTGGCCAATAAGTAATGTCAAAATCAAAAATAAAAATAAAAATCAAAATCAAAATTATTTCAAAAATCAAAAATTCAAAAGTAGAAGATAAAAGTATAAATTTCTTTAATTCCAAAATACAAAATACAAAATGCAAAATACAAAATAATTCAATTCAATTTGAGTTAATAGAGGTACAGTCAAAACCCTCTATAGTTATACTTATTATAAGTACATCATATAAAAAACCTTTTTATAAGCATATTTATTTAAAAACTAATTATATATAAACATATTAAAAAAATTTTTTTATAAGCACATCTTAGTAAAAATATTTTTATAAGCATATAAATCTTTATCCTGAAGGGTGTGATTATAGAGAGGTTTGACTATATACCTAAAATAATAATTCCAAAATTTCAAAATGCTTTTTCACAATTGCTGCTTTTAAAATAAAATTCTTTTTAAAAAAAAAATTGCTTCCTGAGTAGTTTTTTTGAAAGAAGTTTCTGTTCCTTTTTTGAAATACTTTTTAGTTTTTCTTGAGATAATTTTTAGCTTTTTTTTTTTCTGAGATAGTTTTTAGCTTTCTGCCAGAAGGCATCAAAATGTTACAGAATTGCAGCCTTCTTGGTACAATACAACCAAATAACAAGGTTATCTAGTATAGTGATTTATTATTGCAAATATATATGAGATAAAGGTGTAGTAGTTTACTTTACTACATAGCAACAGGCAAATAGTTTAAGATAGTAACAGTATATAAATTAACTTTATTAAATAAACATACAGTGACAATCTTGCCTGTAGAAATTATTTTAAAGGAAGAATATCATTTTTACAAGTTAGAAGTAAAGGTAGGAAGATCTAGGTTAAAGTATAAGAACTTAGAATTAGCAGAAAAAGAAAAAAAATACCTTTTATATATTTTTTTATTTAGCAGAAATAGTAAAGATTTGAGTAATATTACTTGATACTGTATTCAGAGTAATGAAGGTTTGAACAACATTAGATATCATTATAGTAAAGGTTTGAACAATATTAAATAATACTGTATTTAGGATAGTAAAGATTGTGCAGAAACAACTGAAAATATTGTTTATATTATTTGTTATTTGTGCTTGAAACACTTGGAGCTTGTGTTTAGATACTTGGATCTATGCAAAGGTATTTGAGATTTGTACAGAGATACTTGGGGTTCATGTAAAGACACATGAAGTTTATATCAGAGATACTTAAGATTCTTGTGCTATGGCACTTAATATAATAATCTGGTACTAAAATATATGAAACTTGTATAGGAATACTTGGGTTTGTAAGACAATAGTAATATCACAGATGTTACTCAGTGTCATGTAACTGTATCACATTTTTAATAGCCAATTAAGTTTCTTTTATTTATCTACTATATAATATAACTATTGACTAACTAATAACTAATAACTGATAAATAAATATAATATATAAAATATAATAATAAATATATATATAACTACTAATATTATTATATAATATGCTATGCTAAAATCTATTTTGTAACAGCATATAGGTTTGGATTTTCAAAAAAAATAGTGAACATACTTTTATGCATAAAGATAGTCAAGACCAATCTAAACTTATTATAACAAAAAATAATTTCTATATTAATTTGTATAATCAACTTCAGCTCTAAGCATAGAGAACAAATGTTAACCTCAAACTTATGCTTAGTATTAATGCTGCTTTACAGTATATTTGTAAATATACAAGCAAAGCTGAACTACAATCTGTGCCTTTTTTAGATTTACTAAATCAAATACTTCACAATAGTAATTCTAATAATTTATTTATAACTTCTATTCAATATTTATTACTTTATATTATTACTGAACATAATATATTTGTACAGAAAACATGTCATCTTCTTTTAGATATCTCTTTTTATTACTCAAGTCATAGATTTATTACCTTAAATTTTAACAATAATATACTCTGCTATCTTAATAGTACTAGAAGTTTTGAAGATGAGCAAGTCAATACATCAGAAATTAGTAATTTCAGTCAAACAGTTAGATCTTCTCTACAATTATATTAAGATTAACTTGCTAAACTTGATAACCTATTACTCTTTCATTTTAATCTAAGATATACTCATATTAATGACTATTGAAAAAAATGTAAAGAGCATGAAAATATTGTAAGAATTTGGCTACAACCATCTTCATTACATGATGGCTCTAAATAAGAAACTTTCTGTTGTATAAAAGTACTTCTTTATATACTTTATTATAGTCTTTAGCAATTAACAGAAAATAATACTATTTCTTAAACAAACCTATATATTATACATCTTGCAAAAATAGAAGCTAATTCTAATAACTTACTTGGTCTCACAATAGATAACTTATCTAATAATAAAGTTAATATAACTGAGAGTGATAACCAAGATGATCTGTTAGATGAAAATAAAATTTGACCTAATTAAATGTACTTAGCAGAAATAACTCTAAATGCCATCAATAATAATTTTAACATTAATCTAGAAACATATGACATAGATCAAACTTATAATTAGACCACTGTTACAAAACAATATTCTAATATTTATGTAGTAAACTTTGTGCAATATGCATTGCTTGAATATCAAAATACTAAAAATTCAATTATTAGAAAAGTTAAAGATCATACTTTAAATAAAGGTCAATAACTGTCTTTAAAAGAATTAAGTTTCATTATATTAACCAAGATATTAAATTATTAAATATAATTATTATAGGCATTGCAGAAACCAAAAAGTTCTATTTAATTAAAATAATCTACAATCAACTAAACAATATTGTAATTGAACATAATTCTAAGTCACCTATACTTGTACTTGGATCTACAGAAGTTGCTTCATATAATATTAATATAACTATTATTCATTCTTCACTTTCTATTCTAATATTTAATATAAATCTCAACATGAAAGGTAAAAAGTTAAAAAAGATGTAAAAAAAACATCAAGATATAAACTATATTATAATTAATAAAAAAAGTATAATAGGATGAAAAATGTTTGTAATAATAGATATATAGCTATGTCAGACTTTTTCAGAACACAAATATGAATCTTTTGGTAACCAATTAGTAATTCTTGTTAGAGTTTTTGGTTAGCTTTTATCGGTTTGTAATCTTTTAATATATGTTTAGAGTCTGTATAATAGTAATTTTTTATTTAATAATAGTTATATAGCATATTCTTAATTTTAAGAAATATATAAACTCAAAGTAGTTTAATATCAGTCAGAAGATTTAGATGACTAGTACTACTTTAGAGATATTCTGTTGAGATTACATAATGGTGAATCAATACAAGCAAACTGAAAAGTTCTCTTAACTAAATTTGAAAACAAATTATCAAAAGTTGAATATGACTAATTTTAGAAGTTATGCATATATTACCAACATAGTCAAATGTTAATGAGATTAATTTTAAAATACTCAGATCGTTATACTATTTTATTGCCAAAATTTATACTATAAATACTGATAGTAAAGAAGCTTGTATAACTGATTCTGATATAGTATGAGGACTTAAGACACACCTTTTAATAGCTAAAAAAGTAAGAATTATGCTTACTGCAAATTTATTAACATCTGTTAAATTAGTGAATAGTGCTATAGAAACTATTATTAAAATTTTATTTGAAGAAGAACAAGAACCTCCTTCATTTTCTATTACTATTCTTATTGCATTTAATAACTACAATGGACTATCTATTATAACTCTAACAGAAATTAATATTGTACTAATTCCATCTATTAAACACAATTTGGAAAATAAATTTAACTCATGCTCATGTCAGCAAATTCTTATTTGTCTTATGTAGACTATAACAGTTTACAAAAGCCAAGGACTTACTTTTTCTAAAGCTGTAGTGAATCTTAGCATAAAAGAATTTACAGCTGATCTTTTATTTGTTACAATTTCTTGAGTCTGGGCACTTTAAGATATTCTCTTTCAACTATTCAATTTTAAAAGAATTGTACATATCAAAAATAATTTAAGATTGCAAGAAAGATTAAAGAAAGAAAGCTGATTGTTAATCATAATCCATATTTAATTTATTTTTATCAAAATTAACATAACTATATTTTGGGTGTGGCAACTTAGTGAAGTGGATAAGTTGTCATACCCTCAAGTAGTAGGTTGTGAGTTCAAAACCCATCAACAGTGAAATTTGGATAATCACCTATATAATATATAGATGGTATTACAGCAACGGCATTCTGTTGATCAGTTGGAATAGGATACCTGTAACTATGGTTGCACCAGCATGACTGGCAGGTCTGGGGCATTTGTGTAACCTGTTACATAAAGAAATGCAAACTGATACCAGGTGGTGCAAACCTAAAATAAGTCCTTAGGCCATGTAAATCCATAGAACTGGAAAACTGAAGCCCACTTGGAAATTCTGAGCAGAGTGATAACATAGATCTTCAATGGTACTATTGTAAAGGCTAGACCTAGGAAATGGATACCAATGTGAAGGATTCGGGTGGGCAAGAACCTCGAGTGAGGGGTACCACCAACCAGGCTACTGGATTTCAGACCAGAGAAAAAGAATATTGGACTGGCCTCAATATACCAAGAACAGGTCACAGTTCTTCTAGGCTATTTGAATTGGGAGTCTTGGTTCAAAGCAAAGGTATACTAAAAGTACTAGGAATATGCTGTGAAGTCAGTACTGGGGTCTGGGTAAACTCTGCAAGAGTAGCCTGTGTTAGTGTTCTAAAAGTGAGTAGATAGTTAATAACAGAGGGCCCTATGTGTCTTATTGGCAGGTGACATACTCTGAAATGTGTAACAGCCTAGGAACCAGTACAAAAAAGGTAAGTACCATACTGTTCAGATGGTATACCGGTTAGGTATATATGAAGGGTTAGTTGAAGACTTCAATATGACAGGGTGGATGATCAAAGAGTTTAAATAGATAATCTCCTAGTAGGTTATAGGTACAGCATCTAGTGTAGAACCTTAGAGTGGACTACTTAAATAGGCAACCAAAAGTTGCACATATGACTAGCTGTACTTTCATCTCTGTAAAAATAGTTGTAATAGCTAACCCGATATAAAGTTAATAAAATATCACCACAAGTATAGCCTTTAACAAAAAAAAAAAAAAAAAAAACATAACTATACTACTCTAGCTAGTTTCTTATTAATATATTTAATGTCAAAATACAAGAATCAAGTTATTAACTAGTTAATTATAATACCTTAGATTATTTTAATAGATTACATGACAACATAACAAATTAGCACTTAAATATGATAAAGCTTAATTTTTCTTAAAACAATTAATAATCAATAAGTTAATTTTTATTTATATCTAAATACATAATCTTTAATTATTATTATTATATATAATAATACCTAAAAAATTGTAATCAAGAAAGAATGAAATTCAAATATTTAAAAAATTCATAATTATAAATACAAAAAAGGTGTGCAAAATATTCAAACCTTTTTTTTATTTATCACAATTAATTATGATAATTATCTAATCAAACTAATTCTAATAATTGGAACTATGTTATTTAATGATTCTATTACATAATTATAACATTTTGAACTATTAATCCATTAAACTATATCTTTTTTGTAGGCTCTTGCATTTGGTCTAAATCTGGTGAATTTATTTGTAAGTTGAGCTCAAATTATGAAGAAAATGCATATAAATTAAATAATAAAGATAACTAACTCATAAAAAAATATTTTAAAACTCAAAAGCAAAAGTCTAATAAAAAAATAGTTTAAAAATCTAGGCTCTGAACTTCAACAGTTCCTATTTTCTAGTTATATAAAAAACAAGATGCTATAGCTTAAATGCAATATAAGAATCAAAGGATTAAATAGATAATCTTTTAATAAACTGCAAATATAACAACTAGTATAAAACTTTTAGTTAGGCTACTTAAATAAACAATTAAAAGTTGTATATATAGCTAGTTGTACACTTATTTTTGTACAAGTTATATGTAAATGTATAATTAAAAACATAATAAAGGCCTTAGTCACTGTTATCATTGACTTTAATCATAATAATCATAATAATAATAGATTTAAGTAAACTTATAATCTATAGGTACTGTTAATAAATCATAACAAATTGCAAATATTATTATTTTTTATTGAATTTTGATCATTAAGATTAGTGAATATATTACTATTTATAAATAAAGATTTATAAAGTTATAAATAATAAGTAAACACACAAAATATAATTTATTTATTTACTAAAACATATTCTTTAGAAGTATTAGTATTATTTTTTACAAGCTGTTTATTACCAAAAGTAAACTTGTTTGAATTTTCTAAATTATTAGACAAATTAGCAAACAACCAACCTTGCTATTATAAAACAATTTGAGAACAAAGAATATGACACTTAATTCAAAAGGCTTTATCTACTTGAATATCTTGATAAATTTGATGAGATTACAAAAGTTCATAATCAGCACCAACATTAACACTAATCGTCTACTTGAAATTTTTAGTGTACATGGATGTATGTTATTTAAAGTTCCAACTTGATAATTCATGATGAATATAATGAATTAATTGAAATTTCTGATAAGATTCCTAAAGCTGAATATAAGTATATATATATATATATATTCTTATTATTTGCATAACAATACACTTATCGTTAATGGGTTATTGAATAATATAAATAAATATGAAATAAGATCTTAATACATAACTATTGGGATAGTGATAAATTTTCGCTAGTACAATGCATTGTCACCCTCTAATTATATAAATCAAATCAAAGTTTTTAGTAATCGGGTTAAAGTTAAGCTAGGTCTAGACAAGGCTATGATTAAAAGTTTTCTAATAAAGATTTCGCAAAATTTTTTTGTTTATGTTAGAATGAAAATGGTATGTAGTTTAAAATTTATATACTGATTAAAATGTATATACGTATCAATTAATAGCAAAAAAATTAGTCACAACTTCGTTAATAAAAATCAATATGGATTATTAGCATTTTAATTAGGGATTAGAGTTAGCAGGGGTATGGAAATATCAATTCCCAAAATTTATCTTCAGTTTTAATGATTCAATGGTTTTTTTTTTTTGCCTTTTTTCTCTTAAACCTTTGGAAAAAATTTTATTAATAATTAAAAAATATAATAGTCATTCAGAAAAATTTTTATTAATAATTAAAAAATATAATAGTCATTCAAAAAAAATGTGCTAGGTGCAGTGAAAAAGGATGAAATTAAAAATTTTTTGAGCTTAACTAATCCAAAATTAGTCCAGAAACATTTTACACTTAAAGAACAAATAATTCTTAAAGTCTTTATTTCTTATAATTTATTATATAAAATTTACAAAAATCAATTTTTCACAAAACTTTTTTTTGCCAATTTAGTTCTTTTCGCAGCACCAAGCCCATATGATTCCCATATGACTGTCTTTTAAATATTGAAATTGTAATGTTTTTAAATTAAAATACAATTGCCTTGTACAAATTCCTAATGCCAATAGACTAAAAATAAATAAAGAAGGCAAAATTGAAATTATTAGGTACTACTAAATGTTCAGATATTGGCATAATTCCAATAGGAACAAAGTGCCTATGTTCAGAAAACTTCACGACCAATAAATATTATAAATGAAGCATTTAACAAAAAGCTGTTGTCATTGTAGAACTGCCTAAGTAAGTATATCGAGATAATGTAAAATTAAGTTATAATTGCAATGTAACATAATCGTCAATTGTTAAATATAGAGAAGCTTATTTATTTATTAATTTGTGTTATTAATTGATGTCTTACATAGCGATAATAAAAATTTATAATCGGTGAAGTCATACACATCCCGGTTGAAATATAATGAACATTGGAGTCTTTGCCTTGAAAATCAAGTTTGGATCATATGATTTACTATGTCTCGTAAGGTCATTTTCAAGGCAAAGACCCTACATACATTAATTTTAAGGACTTAATTAGGCGTCGCAACCCTGCATCTTAATAATCGACCAATCAAATTTCAATATCAGGTGTAATCAGGAGATTCAAAACAAACGTTCATGAAACTATTTTTCGCTCACTTACAAAACAAATTCCTCGCAAAATTTTACTATAAACCTTTACTTTTTTATTCCACCTAACCTTACCTCACCCTAACCCTAACTAAACAAAAAAAAACTAGTTTATTTTAATCGTTAAATTATAATATGCGATGTATACATTTATTCTAATTTTAATTAAAGGAACATTTAATGTAACGTTTAATACAGTTAATAAAATTGTTAACAAAATTGTTAACAAAAGAATAATTTATACATTTTAAGGTGCAAAAATAAACAACTCGCATTATTGCTTTTTTTACCCATTTTTAATATATATATAAAATTCTTAAAATTCGAATTAAGACCAAATTTTATTAGGAACATGTTTAAGAGTGATCTTATTTTAATCATTTAAACAAAAATTTAATATCTAAATTATCTAAATATAGTTCTACTTTACATACACAGCTTTATCGATGGCAGCGCTTAATATTACATTACAACCTGATTTCTTAATATCAAATTAAGATCAATGTCTCCTTAGCTTTCTATTATTGAAACTATAAATATAATAAAACAATTTAAGCTATTATTGATGTTAAATTAGACGTTACTTACATCGCTCTACCAACCCAATAATAACAATATCGGGTCCCTGGACAGGACCTTTTTTACAATACCATCAATATTGAGTTCTGTAGTTATTTATTATATCTACATAATACCGGTATGAACGTTCGAATGATAATCAAAAATATAATATATTAGTGATTAAAACAAAGTCCTGCCCAGGGACTTTCCATCCACCCGGGATAATATCGATACTGGAATCAGAATAATTTCTTGATACCTATATAAGTCTTAACTAATAGTATCCTGTGCATATGGAAATGAAGTGCACATACGTATTTGCGCGAAATAACATTCCTTGGCACTTAAATCGTATGTTTCTAAATAATTTCCCGGGCGTTACTTTGCGTAATGGGTACGTCTAGGATATAATTATTACTAAAATTAAAACTGACTGAATTATCAAATACACGCATTAAATTTTTTATCCTCAAAGTGGTTGAAATCAATAAATACCACCTATGAAGACAGTTAAAAATTAATAGAAATTTTTTGTTTTTTTTTGAGTTTATAAATTAACCTTTTAAACATGAAAATTACATTTCTATATTTTTTAATAATTACGTTAGGCGTTCTATACCGCACGGCTGCTCAAAGTAATTGATTGTTTTAAAGAAAATTCACGTTTTACACGAACTTAATATCATTACAATTACTGATTTTTAAAATTTTTAAATAGCTGATTCTTCTATAATAGGAGAATGGAAAGAGATTAAAAAGTATGTACCACAAATTTTTAAAAGGTTGACTCGCTCTTAATCATTTCATTATTCCTCAGAGCTATAGTAGGGGCTATGCATCTTATTTTGGTTCGACCCACAAAACTTCTTTTCATTGATAAAGGTATTTATTAATCGCATTTAGATATACTGTGTAGGAATGGAACCAGTCAAAAAAATTATGACCAGTCAAACTAGTGATGGGACTAGAAGTGCTAAAAATTAAAATATCATACGCTGTGATCTATCAAAAAATTTCGATCCTTAATAAATTATTAAACGTGACAATTAAGTATCACCATTTTTTAACCCCCGTAGTCCCATCACAGTCAAACTGCTAAATAAATTAATTTTACACCTGATGCTAGTGATGTCATCCAAACTATTCGAGACATCCCAAACTACGTGATGAATAGTATCACCTAAGGATGGCAAAAGTTTTTTATTACGTAATTAAAAACAGGTGATGATTTTTGTCCTAAATATATTCAAGTCCAGATTTGACTATTCGGATTTTAATCATCACCTGTTTTAAATCGGTGAAAAAATGTTTTTATCATCCCTAGTATCACCTTAGATATTTACTACTTATAATCTCGTGTGATACTATTCATCACGGAGTTTGAACAAACAGTCAATATTCTTTAGTTGAGCAAAATATTATCACTAATATACAATGATTTTAAGATAATTATCAAATAATATTTTTAATTGTTATAAGGTCTAAAAACACCTTAACGTTAAGTCGATTCTGATTCCCCGATTAGTCAGCTATTGACCTGTTAATCGATTAATGTTATTTTTTAAATTTAAAATTTTTGCAAAATAGCTGGAAAGAATCCCGATGCAGTATACCCTGATGGACGTTATGCATACTCGTCAGAATATGATTTAACTACAGGCAATAGTCGTATTCTTAATTTAAAAACAAATACTTTTTGTTCTGCTGGGTCTTTTATAGAAAATGGTACTTTAGTTGAATCTGGTGGTGCCGAAGATGCTGTAAGCTCTTAGACAGTTAATTAAACAAAATAACTTGAAATTTTAAGTTTAGAACTTTAACAAATTATCGTTATCCATTTTACATAGTTTGGTGCATTGAATGGATCCCAATCGATTCGACTATACAATTCATGCGATGACGGCAGTTGTGATTGGTTAGAGTTCCCATATTTGGATACAGCAAGATGGTATAATACTATGACAACACTTCCAGATGGTAGAGTTTTAAATTTCGGAGGATCAACAATAGGAACAACCATTAACAATGATTTAGTCAATAACCCTACGTACGAATTTTATCCTAAAGAATCCAAGAGCGTAAAGTTTCAATTTCTTGTAGATACGTAAGTAGTCCTTTAGTTCTTCTCGACGAAAATTCTTGGTTTTTTTTTTTTAAAAAAAAAACTTTTTAAAATATAGATTGCCATATAATTTATATCCGGCAGTATTTGTGCTTCCCGGTCCATCAGATCAAACTTGGTTGTACATATCAGCTAATAAGAAAGCTATAATTTGGGATTATATCAAACAAATAATAGTTAGGACCTTACCAGATATTCCTGGTGGTCCACGTACGTATCCTGCTACTGGCACAATATTTCTTACCCCATTACATTATGAAGATAATTATGCTGCTGAAATTGTCGCTTGCGGTGGATCTGCTGAACAAAAAGTCAATGCAAAAAGTGATAAAGATTGTGCAAGGCTTAATTTAGCGAAACCAGACTCTGGTTGGACTTTAGAGCCTTTTGGTGACTTCGATACAGGACGTTTAATGGGTGATTACATTTATTTGCCTGATGGGAAAGTACTTATTGTAAATGGTGCTGGTATAGGATTCGCTGGTTGGGGTATGTTAAATCCTTAATAATTAGGGCTCGGCTCAAAAGCCGGCTTAGCCAACTCTAAGATTTATAATATTTTATGACGTAGTATTTTCGTAAAACTTATTAAATTTTATTGCTTTAATAGACACGGGTGACTTTACGAACAGAACACATTCAGCAAGTATACCGCAAAAGATGCCATTACTTTATGATCCTAAAGCACCTCTTGGATCTCGTTTCACCAGGATGGCAGAAGCAAAATACATCCGTGTTTACCATTCAGCCGCAACTTTGATTCCAGATGGTACAGTTTTTGTCGCTGGTAGTAACCCAAATGAATATTATTGTGATACCTGTGAATATCCTACAGAGTAAGCTAAGTTATAAATGAATTTACATTTAATAGATGTAATTAAATTAATTTTACTTTTATAAATTTTTTAGATACCGTGTAGAAATTTTTAAACCTGCATATTTTTTCAAAGGTATCCCCCGACCTATTATTAAGAGTATCAAAGGTACAAAAACCTTCAACTCCTTAACACCTATCCAAGTAAAATATGGAGAGACAGTTACTATAATAATGAAACTGGATGACCACATTGCAAATATTACTGCATCCTTAATTCATCATGGTTTTTCTACACATTCACAGCACATGTCTTCACGATATGTAAGCTTAAAAACCAAAAACCAAGTACCAATCAAATCAGGATACGCCGTTGATGTCACCTTACCACCACATCCTAATATTATGCCACCAGGGCGGCATAATTATATTTATATATTAAACAGAGGAACGCCGGCAAATACTGCTATTGAAATTAATCTCAAGCGATCTTAATATAGATTTATACCAATTAATTTTCAAACAGTTTATTACGTATTACGTACACAACATTTACTACACATAATATTTTATTAATAATTTATGTGACTACGTAATACGTATATAAAATTTCATAATTATAAATTTATTGCACTTAATTCATTTATTTGTTCTGAAAAGCACTCTAAACTCTGTTTATACTTCTTTAAGATGTAAATTTATAAAGTTCCGTATAAAAAAGTAACTAATACTGTCGTCCCTCATTAATATCAACATATTTTATTCATGTTGATAGTGATATTAATGAGGGATTATACGTATTAAAGTTGCTGTATATGAGAAATTTTTAATACATAAAGATTTAAAAAATTTTGTTTTATAGTTTAGGTTGATATTAACGGGGTGGATATTAATTAGGAACAACTGTATTGACTTACCATTTTTGACGTATCAATTAGTGATCAAACAAATTCATTTATATATGGGTCACTGCGTAACATTATGAATATTTGATCAAAGTTTGATAATTTATTGAACTATATTCTTGAGTAGATACTCTACCCCTAACGCAAGTTTTGTTATATGATATTATATTACAACTTATTACAATTCTCGTTCAAAATTTTCAAAAATCTATTTTTATCTTAATTATTAAAATTGATCATCGATATTTCAATCTAAGAAAATTTGGCCCGAATACGCAGTAATCCATATATAATTAACCGCAACTAGAGATGTGAACTGTGAATTACAATACGTAATAGATATTACACAAGCTGTTGTGGATTAGCATGGCGAAGCCGTGGTTCACGGCGCACGTGTAATATGTGATATATTCAACGGTCATTATGCCCATAACGTTTCTGATTAAAATTTTTACTGATGATGCCATACTGTGTAATATTTTTGATATCTCCACAGTATTACGTCATCAGAAAAATATCAACAGAAATGTTCACGGGCGAACATTAAGGACCGTGGAATATATATAAATAAACTGCAGTTTTAAAACTAGAAAATTTAAAGAAATAGGCCCGCATGATGATAAAATTAGTCCGGGAACAATTTTCACTTAATGGGCGGCTGTAATTACATTAGTAAATTTTCGAGTAATTCCGGCCAAAATTTTTGATTGTCGCTCTTAGCCAATTAAATTAAGAATCTGCTGAGACAATTTTGTTGCGGCAGCTAGGGTTAATCCATATATGTCGTGTTAAAATGTGCGTCTGATCAAATTTAAATGTGGAATTTTATTAGGATTAGGGTGGGTGCCTATGTTTTGGATCCATCTACATTCATTATGATTGGTTAATTCTGGCATATAGATACATAATTTTATCAATACTACTAGTACTAGAGAACGAGAAAATAAAACTTCACGTAAAGAAGCTTACAAACTAATAAATACATGCAAAAAAATGTATTAGTAATATTTAGAGAATGGATAGGTATATAAATGTGATATTTATTATTAATAGAGATGTAATTTATAAATTACAATATATATAAATAAATTGTAGTTTTTTTTTTTTATAATATCAAATTGTAAATACAGACTTTATTCAATTAATATTAAAGTAATATATGATAGTTTTTACATTACATTTGTGTTATTATATTTCTATATAGACACCCAATATGATATTATATTTACATTTTTCTAAATTAAGACTAGTATTAAATATTACAACTATTATTGCTAACCAAAGTAAGACTGTAATCATCTTGTAATATAATTCTACTGGTTATAACTCACTATCTACTTTTTGCAGTAATTTTTTCTTTTTTCAAATTAGTTAATTCTAGTAGTTTTTTGCTCTTTTTGTTACCAATTTGGTATACACAACCTTTTATATATTAGTACCAATCAGCATGATTAAATTTATCAAGTTTTAAATTATTAGTCTGCAGTTACTACATACTCTTTTTGTATATTCTTATATATAGTTTGATCTGTAGTGCAGATACATATGCTTCTTGCAAATATCAGCAAATATACTATTATTATCATATTATTGTACTTTCAATTTAGTATTACAAAAAGTCTGAAATCTTAATTTATAATATACAGATATAGTAATTATTAACAAAGTTGTAATATAAGATTATTAAACCAGTTTCTTTAGAATTTATAGTATCTATTAAAGATATTTTAATTTTAATTAAGTTAATCTTTTGTTACTAATCTTCTTTGTATATACTGCTTTAATCATCATTTTAGTTTTAGTTTTATTAATATCACTCTTCCAATCAAGAACTCTACAAGTTAGATATAAAGTTGTTATTGCTATCATATTTTCTAAAAAACTTGGTTACATAATATTTTATATAATAGAATCTTTTATAATATTACTGTTATATATAGTATTTATTCTTTGCAAAGTTAATTTTTTTTTTTGAAAATTTTTAATCTATTTTTGTATTTTATTTTAAGATTTTTTATAAACTTTTATATTTAATTTGGTTTTTATTTTAAATTATAGAATTTAAAATTCTTAATAGTTTTGGAATTGCTCTTTATGAAGAAGAAAATAGCAACAACATTTGTCTAATTTTTTCTAAAATCAAATCAATTTTTTGCTTAACTAAAAATCTTAGAACTAACAAAATTACTCACTTTTTCTAAACTTTTATCTTTACCTTTGTAATTACTTATCTTTGTAACAAATATTATATTAAATTTATCTCAATTACTAATACTAACTATATCCAAGCTATTGAATTCACTACAGTTTATATTAATAACAATTCAAAAAAAAATTTAATAAACTAGTTTAACAACTTCTGTCTATTATCTCTTCTTTAACTGACAATGTTTCTCTATCTCTTATTCCTAATATACATTATTATATTTATTCTAAATGTTCTCTTCCAATTGGCTATATTAAGAGAAATAATTATCATTATTTTACTAAAAAATATATTACTAAAAATAATAAAGTTTACTATCTTATCTGCATAACTGTTTCATCTTAACATGAAACTAGCTCATTTTAAACCAAGAAAAACCTTATCTAAATTTTTCAAAACATTTTATATAAATTCTCTCAAATTATTAATTCTCTTATTACCTTTTCTCACCAAATCCTAATTTCTTCTAATCTTATTAATTTCTTTTTTGTTACAACTACTAATCCTAATCTTATCTCTAACCAACCTTCAATTATTAATATTTCTAATAATACTAATTTAAATCTTAACAATTTTAGTAATATTAACCTATCTAATAGTACCTTTAACAAACTTTTTTTTTAAATTTATTCTAGTAAAATCAAACTAAAATCTAACTTTACATATAACTAGCTTACAAATTTTCTAATTAGTAAAGAAATGCAACTTAATAAAAAATTCTAAATTATATTTTCTTTTAAACTTTTTATTTTTCTTAAAAAATTTCTTTATAACTTTTATTTTGATAAAGAAATTAAGTTCACTACTTCTACTTAATTTGTACTTAAGGCCTCATTCTATTATATTATCTATATTATAACTAGACAATAGTTAGAATTCTTAACTAATCTTATCTATAGTAATAATTCTAATATTAACAAAAATATTACTTTTCTTTTGATCTTCTCAAATTTATTCTCAAAAACCTACTCTTTAAATTTATAACTGTTCTTTTTACAAAACTTAATTATCTTGAAATCTTTGTCTTATCATTTACTATCTTTCTATATACTACTCACAACTATCTTTAACTCTGACTCAATCTTACATAATTTTATCTCTTTTTATCCAATAACTACCAATCAATTGACTACCAAATATTTGTTAAAGATTTACAACTCAGATCTAAAAAAAATCAAAATTGAATCTTTTACTCAATCAACTAATCTTAATTAAAAATGCCTTATCATTCAGTCAAATACTAAATTTAATATTAAGTATTTTTTTAATGTTTCTATAATATTATTTCTCAAAAGATTTTGTATTTTCTCTTTTAAAAACTCATTTAATCATTTTAACATTTAGTTCAAAACTTACTTTTCTTATTACAGTTGATAATTCTTTTCTAGTATTAATAAAAAGAAAGTTTATATATTTTTTAGAATCCAATTTTGCCAACACTTCATCTTACAACTTTTCAAATATCTTCCCAAATATTATACTTTCAAAAAACCTAATTTTCTTCATGAATAATATAAAGAAGTATTCTGTATTGCTAACTTTCATTATCTTACTTGTAACAATAAATCATATTCATATCTTGATAATAAAAAATTCTATAACAGTACCAAACTTTTTAATAATATATTAAGCAAATCTTATTTATTATTTCTTCTTAAGATAATAAAATATGAATCCATCCAACCCTTAACACTATACTATTTCACAAAAACAAAGAACATACTGCATTACTCGACTAATCCATTTCTACCAAAGTTCTTAACAAACTAGTAAACTAAGCTGAAGATTTTAGTTATAAACAAAACAAAATCAAAACAAATTCTAAATATCAAAATTACTATTTTGACTATTATCTTTCTCTATACTACCAAACTGCTATAGAAAATTATAATATACAGTCTTTTTCTAAGAAGAAAGCAATTAATTTACTAATCAAAAACATTATTAATACTAAATTTCTTATTCAAATTATTATTTACTTTGATATTGTCAAAAATCAAAAATTAACTTATTTACAAATTGTTAAATATTTTAATAATACTACTTATCTAGTAGTTGAAAAAATTTTAGCAAAAAAATTTAATCTTGATTTCCAATCTATTTTTATTCTTGACTCACCTTTCTTACAATTTTCTTTTTAAATTTCTTATTTTCTACAACATATATTAAAGCAGCTACCATATTATTAAAAAATACAACTACTTTAGTTAATAAGAAGAATGATATAAATAGATAGATAAATAAGATTATTTATATAAAAGATTCTATTAATAATAGTTAGACCCAATATACAAAGCAGACTATGATATCTTATAATATCTCTAATCCTTTATAATCTTTATACATGCTATAACAAATTCCTTCTTTATTACAATTTACTATTT